ATCTCTGAATCCATTAGGTTTATGAAAAAAACTCATAAAACATTTTTTATGGAAAATTTCATGGGCTTCAAAAGAGGTTTTATCACTTTCTTTGATAAAATTGACTGATTCAGCAAAATCAACAAAGATTTTGCGCAAAATATATCGAGAATATCTCTGAATCCATCAGTTTTATGAAAAAAACTGATAAAATATTTTTTGTAGGAGATTTCATGGGCTTCAAAAAAGGGTTTATCACTTTTCTTGATAAAACCGGCTGTTTCAGAGATAACCGCAAATGACGTGATTTAATTTATTTCCAAGGAATATAAAAATAGTATAGAATGAGCAGACGCCGGCGGCGTCTCCGACAGCATGATTTAATGAATCGTTTACATGAACCCTGACGTTTGTTACTGTCGACCCCGACGTGATCATTCCCACTGTCCAACGGCCCCTCCAGCCACTGATAACGCCCAAGTTCCCTTAAACCTCCGAGCGAACACTCGAAAATTCCGAGAAATCGTTAAAAATTAAATTTCTAAATTTTATAAGACTTCTTCTATAGCTCCGCCATGTCGAGAATATCGAGAGAAATCTTTGGACATTTTCGCAATACCATTTATTATGTAATTTGATATTCTTGGAATATCACGTGATCTCTGTCTCTGCTAAAAATATGTGGATAAAAAAGAAAGTCAGAATCTTGCAGCTCTGGCTGAAGACGTCCGTGTCTTGTAAACATGATGATTGCAACATCGAAAAATGTTACATTTCACTACATCGATAATTGTGTGGTACATTGAGTCATCGTGGAGTGATGATAACGCGTAGGGGTGAAGTGGACATTTTTTATGGTTCTTGAATGTTAATAATTCGCACTGTTAACGATTTTTGGCGGAAATATTCGGATGAATTCTTGGAAATTGATATTAAGTGACAATGCCAATGAAATTTCAAGGAATTTCTCCGTTGATAATGCACTATGCGATGACAGAAACAGTGGAAACTGTAAATTTTTTGATGATTATGCAATGAAATTCAATAGAAATTTGGAAAATTCCGGTTAATGTATTATTTATTGTTTTTTAATTGCCATTGCAGAGTAATTTAGGACTGAATATTCATGTTTTGATGGATAATTCAAGCAAAGTGGAGAATTTTCGTCTGCTGTAATTCTATTGAATTTTTAGTGAAATTTGAACTCTTGTTTTTTCCCTTAAATTGAATTTAATGTCAATTTTATGAGAATTACTACTCAACTTTCTATGAAAAGATCAATGGAAACTACGCTTTAGCGCAATTATGCAATTAAAATCAGTAGAAATCCGGAAAATTCTGGTAAAGATATTCCTGAATTTTTCATTCAATTAAAAATTCTTAATTTTCCATTAAAAATTACAAATGTTCTCTAACAGTGCATCCAATTGTTCCAATTTATCATCATTCGATGACAAAAACAATGAAAACTGTAAATTTTAGATGATTATTCAATGAAATTCAATGGAAATTCGGAAAATTCCGGTAAATATATTATTTATTGCCTTTTAACTGATATTTCAGCGTAATTTAAGACTGAATATTCATGTTTTGATGGATAATTCAAGTAAAGTGACGAATTTTCGTCGGCTGTAATTTCATTGGATTTTTAAACTTGAAATTTCATGATTTTTTCCCTTAAATTGAATTTAATGTCAATTTGCTGAGAATTACTACTCAATTTTCTATGAAAAGATCAATGGAAACTCCAAGTTAAATCAATTATTTAATTAAAATCAATAGAAATCTGGAAAATTCTGGTAAACATATTTTTGAATTGTCATTTACTACTGAATATTCATATCTTGATTGATAATTCAGATAAGTTAGTGAACTGTCAACTTTCTGATTTCTAATTACATGGAATTTTATATGAATTACACCCCAACATTCCACGAAATTCCAATATTCTACTAACAGTGCATCAATTTGTTAGCAAAAAATATTTTTTTTCATCGAAAATAATTTCTAAAAAGTCGAATGCGTCTCTATACTCCACTCTTCTGAGTGCTCTAGTGTGTATAAATTCAGAGATTCTTTGAACGTTTTCATGAAAACAACTCACTCGTTGAACTTCCAATTTTTCTATTTCTTTTATTCCCGCGAAAAAAATGATATTGACGTGTGCAATGAAGACAAGACGTTTCTATTCGAATAAAATATTCAAATTCAATAGTCAAGTCAAATTATGCAACGATCGAATGAATCTTTCATCAAGTCGCGGAAGATAAGAATGAAATTAAAATAGTAGAGGGGGGAGTGTGTACGTAATGAAAGTTCAATCCCTCGTGTTTCGAATTTGTTGAATTAGCGCTGGAAATTTCATCGGTTGAGGGAAAGGCCTCGCGACTTTTCCTCATGGCGCCACGAATAGCCAATTGACAGACGATGAATACTAGAAATTCTGTTTTCGTTTGAGAAACCAAAAGCCCAAGTTGTCACTTTTTTTAATTCACATTTATCTCGATGAAAGAGAAACCAATCGCAATCAAAATAATTACAGCTCTGAAAACATTTAACAATTTCATAAATCCATTCCTTTTCCTCTACTTCAATTTTTTTTTTAAATCCGCAGAAAATTAAATCCTCAATCTTGCGGATTTGAATTAAACTTAAGGTTAAATCATTCATGAAATTTTTTCGTAAAGAGGAATCGTTGATATTTTTATAGCAAATTGAATTTTCAAACTCGGTGTGAAAATTAAATATTACATTCAATAAAATTTTACATATATTGAAAATTCCAGAAAATATTTGCTTGAAATTTCCCAATTATCAACGACTTTCGTTGCCATATGGACTAGAAACCTGAAATTTGATTGAATATCCCAACTTTTTCAATTCGCATTAAACCAGGATTAAACTATGAATCTTCCCAGAATTAATCCACTCATTTTCCTCTACTTCAAAATTTTTTTGGATTCCGCAGACAACTAAATGAATTTCTCAATCTTGTCGATTTGAATTGAATTGAAGATCAAATCATTGATGAAATGTCTCATTCATTTCGAAAATTCAATAAAACTGAGTTTTTCATAAAAAGGAATCATTGATATTTCAATAGCAGATGGCATTTTCCAACTCATTGTGAAAATTAAACATTACGTTCAATAATATTTTGAATAGATGGAGAATTCCAGAAAATATTTGCCTGAAATTTCCCGTTTATTAACAATTTTCGTTGCCACTAGAGACCTGAAATATCATTGAATATCCCCGAAAATTTCCATGAAAATTTAAATTAACACATAGAATGAAAATTGATGAAAATTCTCTCAAAAAATTCTAAGCCTCTTCACTTAAAACTTCAAGCGTAATTTTCCACCGCAGACCGAGCTACCGCTTTCCCTCCAAAACAATCCCCTCTGCCCCTCAATTATTACCGCAGCCTAAAAGAATCCGATAACTTGGTTCTCTAAATGACTCAGGTCTCTATGAGTGACGTGGCGTCGCAGTTGTCAAACTAATGACATCCCCGAGGACACGAAACTCAGTAACGCCAAGTATTTTAATCACCCATACCATGAAAATCGAGAAATTATACTTTTAAAATAAAAACCTCAGCAAGACAGCACTCCTCCACTTCAACACCCCAACCAGCACAACAGAAATCAAAGATCAAGATCGTTGTCCACAAGGATGTCCCTCAGATGGTCTAAAATCTGGGTCAACTAGCAAACACTCCAAATAAAAAAACCGCCCCCTCCCTCTCTAAATAAAAAACAAAAACAAGCCGTTTTATTGAAGCGTAAACTTGATTTTCATCGCGTTTCCGTTCACCTTGCGAATAATTTTTCAAACATAAACTAATATCATAATTTGTTTAAACAATCCGCCTGAAAACATCTTCAGACATCTTCACTCACAAGCGAGTCAGGCATCTTCATTCAAGCGTAAATTGATTTTCATCGCATTTCCATTCACCTCGCGAATAATTTTTCAAACACAAACCAATATCATAATTTGTTTAAACAATCCGCCTGAAAAATGACATCTTCATTTCTTCCAAATCATTTATCCACCGAAACAAATGAGTTTATCACCCAAAACGAACCGGTTTATTCAAGCGTAAACTTGATTTTCATCGCGTTTCCATTCACCTCGCGAATAATTTTTCAAACATAAACTAATATCATAATTTGTTTAAACAATCCGCCTGAAAACATCTTCAGACATCTTCACTCACAAGCGAGTCAGGCATCTTCATTCAAGCGTAAATTGATTTTCATCGCGTTTCCATTCACCTCGCGAATAATTTTTCAAACACAAACCAATATCATAATTTGTTTAAACAATCCCCCTGAAAAATGACATCTTCATTTCTTCCAAATCATTTATCCACCGAAACAAATGAGTTTATTACCAAAAACGAACCGGTTTATTCAAGCGTAAACTTGATTTTCAGTCCCTAAAAAACGTCTGAATAAAATGAAAATTTGTGTGAATCTCAAACATGAATGAAGTTGTTTGTGCACCTGTTCGTCTGAAATTCAGACACATTTTCATTTTACTCAGACGTTTTTTACTGTCTGAAAAATGTCGACAAAAGGTGTGCGAAATTCGCGCATTGGTTTTTGCTGTGATTCGCGTTTCCATTCACTCACAAATAATTTTTCAAACACAAACCAATATCATCATTTGTTTCCGCCCTAATTTGAATCCGCTCTAACAATGGATCCTTCATATCCCTCAAATCACTTATCCATCGACGCAAATGAGTTAATCAACCCACAAAGAATCCCGACCCCCAAAAATCCCAAAGTACCCGCAGTCTCCCAATAAATCCCCCCAAATGCACAATAACTGCGCCCCGTTATCACGTACCCAGAGGCGGCGTTATCACTCTGATATCCGACCACATATACATCCACACCAGTCGGCCCCTGGTCTCCAGTGACTCGCGGACCACCGGCCCAGTTAGTGATACCGAATCCCCGAAATCAGCGGAAAAAAAAATCAAGAAAACCCTTCAATCAACTCACCGTACTCCCTCCGCCGGAGCTTCTCCAGAGTCCGCTCGTCCCGCACGCCCCTTCGCTCCTTCATCCCCCGAACTAAAATAATAATTCACCCACCAACAATGACACCCACGTCCACAGAAGCCCTTCGATATGCACTTGCACCAGTCACTCCTGAAATCGAAGTAACCGCCAAGTCAGTATATGCACAACGAGTGAGGTTGTAAGAAGAAATAAAAGTCCGTGTTGTGCATATGAGAACCGGAGCTCTATGATCGACGGTATGAGCCTTCGCGTTTGGTATATTATGTACATAGAGCAAAGTGACGGAGTGCGCAACGAGTCAAGAAGGCCTAAGGGGAAGCCAGAGGAGTGACTGAGACCGACAACGAGGGAGAGAGAGAACGAGAGAGAGAGACCAATGGAATAGAGAAAAAATAAATANGGGGGGGGGGGGGGGGGGGGGGGGGGGGGGGGGGGGGGGGGGGGGGGGGGGGGGGGGGGGGGGGGGGGGGGGGGGGGGGGGGGGGGGGGGGGGGGGGGGGGGGGGGGGGGGGGGGGGGGGGGGGGGGGGGGGGGGGGGGGGGGGGGGGGGGGGGGCATTTAACGCAGACCGAAACGAATAGGGAAAAAGACAGAGTGCAGGCGAATACGATTATTCTTCATTGAAAGCCAAAGGAACACTTCAATGTGTTCGGGCTTTACTTTAATGTTACTTCGTGTTGTACTCACCCAGTTAGGTTCCTTGCGGTTCGGGCATTTACTTGTGTGGAGGAGGCTTATCGGCTTGTCACTTCCATGCTGATGGTGTTTTTTTGTTTTTTTGGGTTTTCGGGGCGGGGAAGGGGAATTGGGAGTGGGGAGCTTTTTTGGAGGGGTTTTTTGGGTTTTTATCTGTTGGTTTTCGGGTTGCGGGGGGAGGGGAGGTGTTGAGGGGCGAATTGCCTTTTTTGTTTTCAGGGTTTCGGGTTTTTTTTGGGTTTTTGGGGGAGGGGAAGCGGAATTGTGACGGTGGAGGAGCTTTTTTGGGTTTTTATCTGTTGGTTTTCGGGTTGCGGGGGGAGGGGAGGTGTTGAGGGGCGAATTGCCTTTTTTATTTTCAGGGTTTTAGGTTTTTTTTTGCTTTTGGGTTTTTGGGGGAGGGGAAGCGGAATTGTGACGGTGGAGGAGCGTTTTTGGGTTTTTATCTGTTGGTTTTCGGGTTGGGGGGGAGGGGAGGTGTTGAGGGGCGAATTGCCTTTTTTATTTTCAGGGTTTTAGGTTTTTTTTTGCTTTTGGGTTTTTGGGGGAGGGGAAGCGGAATTGAGACGGTGGAGGAGCTTTTTTGGGTTTTTATCTGTTGGTTTTCGGGTTGGCGGGGAGGGGAGGTGTTGTGGGGCGAATTGCCTTTTTTATTTTCAGGGTTTTAGGTTTTTTTTTTGTTTTTGGGTTTTCGGGGAGGGGACAAGGAATTGTGAGTGGAGGAGCTTTTTTGAGAAGTTTTTTGGGTTTTTATCTGTTGGTTTTCGGTTTTCGTCAATGTTCTTGAATATTCAATGGAATTTGATTTCTCAGGTTCATACGACAATGAAAATTACGGAAAATCATGAAAATTCAGGCAACTTTTCTTTTAAATTTTCAATCTGTTGCTTAATTTTCGCGATAGGTTTGAAAATCCAAATTTTCATTGAAAATTCAATCATCATTCATAATGAAAAACTTAATTGTATTGAATTTCCAAGATGAATCAGGAATTCCATGAGCAATTTAGTCTGAAACTGAATTCAAGTTCAGAATATTGAAAATTCAAATGCATCTGTTACTTAAATTTCAAAAAAATTCTAACAGTGGACTATTAAGAAACTATCTGCTTGAAATTGAAGTCGAATTCTTCATCAGTGTATTCTCGCCCTCTCCCTCCTCAAATTGAAACTCGCGACATGTTGACAATTAAAAAAACATCTTCTGAAGGTCAGAATCAAAACATAAAACAACATTTGATCGACAAGTTGTCGCTTCGTTTTTAGATTTTCAGAGATACTTTCTCTTCTCGATGTGATTCATCTCACAATTCTGGAATTGTTCTCGAGTTGTTTTTGGGCGCTGAATGGATGAGTCACGGGTCACGGTTGGGGGGTGACACAGGGTTGAAGGATTTTTGAGCAAAGTTTGAGGTCTCTATTTGGTTTAGCCTCGATTCTCTATGCATTCTCACCAGGAGTTGCCATTGTATCATCTTTGGACTTTTTTCTCTTTTTAAAGTAGCTCTACCCTTCGGCCGGGCTACGCTGTACTTTTTGATATTTTCATTTTTAAAATTTTTCAACTAAATTCCATGGAAAAAAATTGAAAAATTTCATACCCAGTCAGTATTATCTAAATGAAATTTCGCCAAAGATTCATATTTTTTCAAACATTTCCCTCTTATAAATAAATAATAAAACCTGTTTGCAAAACGGTGGATTTTTTTTATGAGGTGTCAAAAAAATTCTTGATTTTTTCACATCTAATGAAAAAAATGAGATTTTAATCTTTGATTACAATGGAAATGTTGATTTTTACATAAGACACTGGGTCAAATCCTGATTTTTAAACATTTCTTCTTTGAAAAACCAAAACGATAATTAAATTGAGAAAAAAATTAGAATTCCGAATCTAATCGAGTTTTCTGCAATTTTTTGTGCAGTTTTCAATAATCTTTGAATTTACCGTAAGGGTAGAGCTACTTTAAACCGGTGACGAATTGAATTCTGCACGTGTGTTATGACCAGCGGCAGAGGGAGGAAAGAAATATGAAAACTCGGTGGATGTTTACGGAACAGAATCGACGACGGTGAATCACTTGACTGGGGCATTGTGTCGAGTGGAGGTGTTCAGTTGCACTCGTGAGGAGAACCATCAAGGCCGGTCATTGATGATTCTCCCTGGTCCCATCGATTTAATTTCCCCTCTCATTCATAAAATTTTATTTCTCGGCATTCTTTTTTTTGAGGAGAAACTGTTTAATGTTCTCGCGGTTTCTGCGAATGTAAATTAATGCAAACGATTTTCTGAGAATCGTGGAACAGTCACGCGCATTGTGGACGTTGAAGTCACTTGGAAAGCTAACTAAACCGTCGAGAGCACGTAGGTGTTGCACCCACTTTCAGGGGCTTTCAAACGTCCTACCGTAAAATAACTATGGACGGGTCATGCAGATTTAGTGTCAAAAGGCGTCACTTCCCTGTTTTTATTTATTTTTATTGCGGTTTGCGTGGAGGGCTGAATGAATGAGGGGAATTGGGATTGGAGAGGTGTTTCATTTGGAATTGGCAGTGTCTATTTACACGCTCCACGGTAACTTTGACCGCGGATATACGGGACGTTTTCCCGCGAATTTAGGGTAATTTCTACCGTGGATGTATGGGAGAGCGTGCACCCTCAACTTCTACTTCTCAAATTAAATCTAGACAATACACTAGACACATCGAATCAATTGACGAGTGATATGCAGACAGTAGACTACACGGAGAGAAATTTTTGGTAAAAATTACCCTACCGTTCTATAAAAGTGTATCATGAGTCATCGTTTCCTCATTTCTATCCCGAAATTTAGTAAAAATTGATATATGGTGATCAAATTTTATTCTACGTTAGAGAAATCTTATCCTGATAAAAATAAAAATTACCGCGCCGGTAGAGTAAAAATTACTGGACTGGACAGGTAAAATTTGTTATGCGTCAGGATAAAATTTCTGTAACGTAGAATAACATTTGATCACCATATATTAATTTGTACTAAATTTCGGGATAGAAATGAGGAAACGATGACTCATGATACACTTTTATAGAACGGTAGGGTAATTTTTGTCAAAAATTTCTCTCCGTGTAGTAAATAATTTTCTCAAAATATTAATTCGTTGAATACGAATCTCAGTCTAGATTAACGTACGAGATGCATCGAACCGTGGTTCCTTTTCTGAAACAGACACATTTATGTTAACTACCTAATCTAGTCACTGTTGATTGTTAAAGTAACTATTTAAAGACAAAAATACTTCTGTTTAATGAATATACAGCAGAGACTTCGTATAAGATACCTCGCGCTCTGCGCTCGAGACCTACCCCCACTCTCGGTACTTTTATCGCCTCACAAATGTTTATGTTCCGTGGGCTTCTTATAAGATACCTAAGGCCCCGGTCATTTTTCAACGGGAAGAGAGTAGTTATAAGGGTCAAACGGGAGGGACGAACGAAGTGATCATGAGGGTCTAATGATCTTAAAGTAGCTCTACCCTTACGGTAAATTCGAAGATTATTGAAAACTGCAAAAAATGCAGAAAACTCGATTAGATTCGAAATTCTAATTTTTTTCTCAATTTCATTATCGTTTTGGTTTTTCAAAGAAGAAATGTTTAAAAATCAGGATTTAACCCAGTGTCTTACGTGAAAATCAACATTTCCATTGTAATCAAAGATTGAAATCTGAATTTTTTTTCATTGAATGTGAAAAAATCAAGAATTTTTTTGACACCTCATAAAAAATAATTCACCGTTTTGCAAACAAGTTTTATTGTTTATTTGAAAGTGGGAAATGTTTGAAAAAATATCAATATTTTGCGAAATTTAATTAAGATAATACTGACCGGGTATGAACTTTTTCAAATTTTTTCCATGCATTTTAGTTGAAAAATTTCAAAACTAAAAATATTCAAAAGTATGGCGTAGCCTGGTCGAAGAGTAGAACTCCTTTAAGGGGGGTCACACCACTTTTTTCAAGTAATGGAAATATACATCAATTTTTTTTTCCACTTTTCCCATCGAAAAATCGAAAATGGAAAAATACGAGGATATAATTGGATTCAATTCTTGAGGAAATTTAGGATCTCTCTGGGTACTTGGAAATTTCCAAAAGTCAGTTCTGACATTTTTCCAGTTGTATCATAGTCAACACTACGTATTTGTGGTGTCTCTTCTTAATTTGTATTAAAATTCTTTTTATTGAGCATGTATCGAAATTCATGAAATTTTACATGAGCAATTGAGCATAGGCTTCATTTTCTTAATTGGATGGGTTGCATCAATAAAAAAAAACAAACTTCAACAATATAATTCTCTATTCAACATTGGTTCGTTCAATGCACAGTTCGAATGTCAATTTCTTCCACTTCCCCTTAAATGCATGCAGTTGCTTTGCGTTACTTGTAATTTGTTATTTAATATTACAGAAATACAGTTAAACACCGGATGAGTGTTAAGTAAATTTGTCGACATGGTTCGTTCAATTTTCCTCGAGAATCAAATAACACAACTGTGGCACCTAGACGTAGGCATTTTCCCGAGGTCCACTCGAAAATAAAAGGCTAATAATTTGTTCATTACGTTGACTGACAGAGTGATAATACAAACAAGAAATCGTGCTAATGAAAATATCAGAAATCTCTTTTATAAATGAAACAATACGTTTGTGACAAATCAATTGTATTCACAGTGAATAAAAGTCTGAGGTCAGTCGCAGTGGTTCCTTTCTCACGTTGTTATTATTTGTTTTCCTTGGTAAATTTATTTATTTAGTTTAGGGAGCTAATTTTAATTTTAATGCCGAAGTGAGGAGAGGCGTTTTTTAACCGAGAATTAATCCACAACCGAGCTGAAATTGTCCTTTGCTGTGATTGAGAAGACCACTCAGGGCAAATGTGAAGGGCAGGGGCTGTAATTTCTTCTCCAATACTGCACCCACTGTCCAATTTGAATCGACACTCCCTGAAAATAACGAAAACAAATCAAAAATTTTTATTTTATGAAATATTTTGCGGTCGAAGGATTCAAGCATTATGATTTTAAATTAATTTGTGGGAAATCTTCTGATGAGATTTTATTATCAGTGAAATGCAGGTGCTGATTAGTTTGCAAATATCGTTGACAAAGCAAACAATAATCTGTAGTAAATTTTGTTGAAGATTTCATGGAGAATGAAGAATTTATCAAAAGTGAAGGAATAGGTTTAGAGACATTAATAGAAATTTTTTTTGTGGAGAATTTCATAAATTGCAGAAAAGTCTCTCAACATTTTTCTCAAAACACTCGTTCAAACGATATTTGCAAAATAATCCAATAAAAATCTGGGATAAAACTTCGATTATAATTATTATAATTGCTCATCAATACCTCTGTACACAAGATCCGCCTTTGGCAGATCAATTTGGTAAGCTATAGTTGCTGTTGACTCTTGCATCCTCGTGTTAACATCCAATTCCACCCCCACTTGGAGCTGCGGACTAGCCCGTTGATGGAAACATATATGGCACGATGCAGGGCCTATTAAACACAAAGAATCATCTCAAAATATGCAAAATCCCAGCCAAATTAGGATGAATTCCCTTGAAGTATCAAATTAAATTACCGATACTAGCACTGATGGTTGAGTCCCCACTGGCGTATCTCCCCACGAGTGATGCAATTGCAATAGCACCACCTGGCACCCCAGGACCTCGTTGATATGCCAGTTCTCCACCAAGTGCCAACTCCTTGCTGATGTTCTGAAGATAGTGAGCCACGACAACCCCTGAAATCGATAGAATAATCCCTTAGTCATTTTTAATTCCACACTCATTCAATTTCAAATCTCTATTTATTTGAGTGAAATATGAGGAGTTTTTTTTGATTAAATTTTCTGAGATAAAAGATTGACATTTCTCCCCAAATTATGAAATTTTTCCTTAAATAACAATAAATTATAAAATTGGGCTCCTCTCAAGTGATAATACAAACAAGTAAATTATAAAATTAGTGAAAGTAAATTATAAAAATAGTAAAAGTAAATTATAAAATTGAGGAATAATTGATTTCTCACCAGAATTGTTGATTATATCCGGATTGGCGACAGTCAACGATGCGGTGTAAGAATCTCCACGGTAATCAGTGGTTCCCTGGACCACTGTAAACTTACTCCTCTGAACCTGGGCCCCAATTTTCGTCCTCATCCTGGGGGTGAACTGGTGGAGAATAGTTGCATTCATGTTACCTCCAGGCTCAATGTCCCCAAAGAGGACTGGGTATGCCTCTGTGGGAGAGGTTTGTTTGGTTCCTACGTACGTTGCTGAGAACCTTGACGAGAAAGATTAAATTTATAGAATCCAGGAAACTAGAAAATGGACTGGAAAAAAATTCAGAAAAATCATTTCTTTTCTTGAATAAATTGAATACACAAATCGAAAAGAGAAATTTAAAAAATTCAAGTTTATCAATGTTTGAAAATGTCCGTGTTAAGAATAATTCTCTGAAACTATTCTAATACTTCTGTTCCTTTCAAAGATATACACAATTTAATTTAACAGTGGAAAGACAAAATTAAATATGTAAAAATGACTTTCGACAGATTTCTAAAATGCATTCCTCTTCCCCCAGAATATTTACAGAATGAGGTTCTTCCGTGAAGTAACTAACCAAAAATGATCATTTCTTCATTAACATCAATATTCTTTATCTCAATTTGAAACTCGCCCTGTTCCCCACTAGTAAAACTATTCATGACGACTCGTATCACAACACCTGAAGTTACACCACAGCAAACAGAGTTCACAAAAACCTTCCCCCTTCAACTTTACATAACCCTTTGCAAAATTCGATTAAAAAATACCCCAAAATTAGATTCTCCATTGAAATAACTTCAAGATCATCTCAATAAATTCCTAAATTGTCTACCTGTTGTCCCCAAAAAAAATCCCCATGAAAATGCCATCGCCCTCCCACCAAAATAAACTGCCCCCCCAAACCCTCGTGACCCCCAAAGCTCCCAAACACCCGAAAAATTCTTCATTCTGCCCCATCCACCCCTCCCCTCCCCTCTTACTTGTATCCAGACTTGATGACCGAGCTCATAGTGATGGAGTGAGATATTTGGAAGTGGTTACTGAGTCCCTTGTTGATGATGAGCTTGGCGCCCTCGAAGTTGGATGGAAACACATCTGAAAGCATTCGTAATCATTCAGAGCCCAAGCCTCCACCAGCATCACTGAAAAAGCCACCATCAACCCCTGGAGCCTCCAGAGAGCAAGCTCCACCCCCCGAAAATCCAATTCCCCACTATTTGCAATCAAACTCTCAGTGATGACTTGTTCATTTTCACTGATAATCACTCGATAATGAGCCTGCAGCGAGCATAACTGAACTTTGGAGCTCACCTTTGCAGAGTTTATGGAGATCCTCGACAGTGCCAGGATTCTCCAGCTTGGTGGGGGCCTCCGAGAGCTGTCCCAGGTGCTGGTCCTTCGGAAGACTCGGTGATGATAATGATGGAATCGACGAGGGTGGCGGTGGTGGAGGTGCCGAGGCTGCCATAACGTTACCCATTCTAACTCCTCTTTTTTCAATTTGATTTATTAATTTTTAACAACTGAGTTTCTACACTCCTCCGGCTGGTTAATTTAGGTTGTGGTTTTTCACGTTGATTTGTCACTTCAATCGAGTTTTTCAACGTTTATTTACACAGAAAAATGGGCGATTAGGAGAGTGCGGTTATAAGGGGCAGCGTGTCTCGACGTGAGTCGCCATTTGTAAAGGGTCGATCTTTTCCGACATGCCGAACGTTTAGGCTCATTCTCATGAGATTTTAGGGCTCGGGCTCATGGAAACTGGGATCGTCAAGTGATTGTGTGAAGTTGGGGGGGTTTGGAGGGCTTCGGAAGAAAATAAGGGGGGGGGTCGTTTGTAGAATTAAAATTCTACAAACGACCCCCCCCCCCCCCC